CTGGGTGAGTCAGGTTTTGCCTCATATTGTGGGGATTCGCGAGTGGTCGCACTTTAATGAGAGGTTTGGGCGTAGACCTGCGGCCGGTGAGTTACCTTTGATTTTGATTGTTGACCTTTATACCGTCGTTTCTATCTTCTTTTATTTATCTTTCTTCGTTTGTAGGTCGGAGGGCTTCAAGGAGGGCGAGGGCTCCTACGCCTGCTTTTCGCTAGTTGGGTATTTTGGCCGAGCCCGTGCTCGCTGTGGCTGCAAGTAAACCTGCTCGGGCCGCTGCCATTCATCAGTCCCCGGCCTCGCACGGTCCTAGTCGCCAGATTGCTGGCACACTAGCGGAGATTCCGACTTCTACAGTGTTTCACTTGGTCGGTGAGTCAGACCACGGCGAAGATGGAGAGGCTCCGCTAAAAAGGCAAAAGGTAGAGGCTGATAGGAGAGTTGTTAAAGAGGAGCCGACTGTGAGTGGACCTGAGTTGACCATGGTCGAGCCGAGGGGCGGCATGACCTTGGATGTGGAGACCGTGCCTCCTTCGGACGTGGAGATCACCTCCGTGGAAAAAGGAGGGCGACCAGAAGCGGCTGTGATTACTCCTCAGAGTGGTCCATCAACATCAAGGTAGGCCAACGTTCCATCTTCGGTGGAGGAGAGGGCGAAGAGAGTGATCATAGATGATTACGAATCTGGCTCCGATGTTGATCCCGAGGAGGCGGGGATATTCGACGAAGGGCTTACGTGGGTGGAGGTGAGAACGGATGGATCTTCTCGCTCGATCGTAATTCCTTTGGATTGCAATTTGTTGGAGGATACGGTGAGCATGGTCCCCTCCTTTGCTCCTCTTTGCTCTTTTGCCGAAACAGGACCCATCGGGCGCTCCGAGATTCTGACCTGTCACTGGGCATATCCGGATGGCTCTAAGGGTAAGTTTTTTGTATTGTTTCTGCAACTTGCGTCTTTTTCTTTTTTTACTGGTCTTCTTCTTACTCTCTTTTCTTTTTTAGACGTTCATTTTGCAGATTGAGAGTGCCCGCCGAGTAGAGAGGCTGAAGGTCATTTTTCAGAAGATGGCTTCGAAGTATGTCCGTTATCGTGACAGGTACCGTGAGATGCGTGCACGATTGAGAGTGGGTGGTAACCCCCAGTCCCTTAGAGATGAGTTGGATCAGAAGGACGAGGAGCTTGTGCGAACTATTGGCAGATGTAGTGAGCTTGAGGGGTTTCTCAGGGCCAAGGACGAAGAGCTTGAGGTGAGCAAGGGGGCCATGGCCGAATGCGTCGACCTTCAAGCGAAAGTGGCAACCTTGCGGGCTGAGCTTGAGGAAAGCTCAATTAGAGTTGCCGGTCTGAGTAGTGAGTTGACTGAGTTGGTGAGGTCCGAGGAGGCTCGGGTAGCGGCTGTGGCAAAGGCGATGGCGTTAGAGAGCGCTATCTGTGTTCTTAGGTCTGAGCGTGCAACCGATGCGGAAACGGCTGTGCTGAGGGAGACGCGGCTTGATGAGCGAATTGGTGGGCTTCAGAGAGAAGTTTTGAGCCTAAGTGAACAAGTCGCCGCCCTTGAGGCTGAGAAGGCACAGTTGTTGGTTCGACCTTCTTCCTCTTGTGCTTCCCCTTTTCCCGACGTTCCTCGTGATTTATATGAGATGTGGATCCATGCTGAGGCAAAGCTGGACGTATATAGGAACTTGATGGCAGCGGGGAAGGTTCCTGAGGCCGATTTTGAAGATGCCCGTATTAAGGCACGCGATGCCAGGCTCGCTTGTGGTTATGACCCCGCCACGTCGGGGAATGGCGATGATGAAGAGGACTTGGACGGGCTTGCATTTGATCCTTGGTATGATGATGAGTATGCTGATGGCGCGGGCGAGGGTGGAGATGGTGCTGATGGGCCGAGTGGTGAAGGTGGCGATGGTGCAGGCGGAGATGATGCAGCGTGATGGTGCAGTGTGATTTTCTTGTACTTAGTTTTTTGCTCTTTTCTCTTTTTTTTTTTGTAGAGGGGTCTTTTAGGCCCTTTGTGAGATATTCTCTATTTTGGAATGGAATGACCGTTGTATTTTTGCTGTATGTTTTGGGCTCTTTTCATTTTTCTTCGTATGCTTTTTCCTTCGTAAGAGTTCCTGACTTAGTTGATGCGATCGAGGTCGAATGCCAATTAATTTGAGCGAGTTCTAACACTTGTTGATTCGAACAAGGTCGAATGTTAATAAATTTCGAACGAAGTTGAATGTTAATGAATTCGAACGGAGTCGAATGTGAGTCGATTCAAGCGAGGTCGAATGTGATTCGATTCGAGCGAGGTCGAATGTTTGACTCTTTAAGTGATTTGAACGAGGTCGAACGTAAATAAATTCGAGCGAGGTCGAATGCAAATAAATTCAAGCGAGGTCGAATGTAAATAAATTCGAGCGAGGTCGAATGTAAATAAATTCGAGCGAGGTCGAATGTGAGTCGACTCGAGCGAGGTCGAATGTTTGACTCTTTAAGTGATTCGAACGAGGTCTAATGTAAATAAATTTGAGCGAGGTCGAATGTGAGTCGACTCGAGCGAGGTCGAATGTTTGACTCTTTAAGTGATTCAAACGAGGTCGCATGTAAATAAATTCGAGCGAGGTTGAATGTGAGTCGAAACGAGCGAGGTCGAATGTTTGACTCATTAAGTGATTCGAACGAGGTCGAATGTAAATAAATTCAAGTGAGGTCGAATGTGAGTTGACTTGAGCTAGGTCGAATGTGAGTCGATTCGAGCGAGGTCGAATGTTTGACTCTTGGCGTAATGTATGAACTTGGTGGAGATAAACTCATGTGTTTGCATATTTCACTTTGTTTATACATTCATTGGAGAAGTTTACATACGTTGAAGTTTGCATGTTTTTCTGAAGTCCCAGTCTATCTAGTCCCTTCATTGGTCGACCTAGAAAAGTTGTTGATAGGTCGAGCGATGAACTTATACATAAACTCCGAGACGCTCTCTTCGTCGCCTCGTAAAAAACCTCCCCGAGAAAACCCAATTGGGATAAAACTCGGGTAAGGGAAAAAAGAGTACGACTCGGGAGACGTCTATCCTTTAGAAGTTGAAGTATTTGAGGTGGCGACTTTCCAATTGTTTGGTAGTAATTTTCCTTCCATTGTTTCCAGCTGGAATGACCCTTTGCTTGTTGCCGTCGTAATTTTGTATGGGCCATCCCAATTGGTTCCCAGTTTTCCTTCTCGTGGGTCTTTGCTTGCTTGTGTTTTGGCTTTGAGTATGTAATCCCCGACTTTGAGTGGCATGATTTTGGCTTTCTTGTTGTAGTACCGCTCTGCCTGTTGTTTTGGAGCTATCATTCTTATGTAGTCCATGTCTCTTCGCTCTTCGGCTTCATCGAGGTCTTGCCTTCTGTTCTCGTCGTTGCTTGGCTCGCTTTCATTTGAGTATCTCAAGCTGGGCTCCCCAACCTCAACTGGTATCATTGCATCAGTCCCATAGACTAGTGAGTATGGCGTTTCCCTTGTGCTTGTCTTTGGCGAGGTGTGATGTGCCCATATCACTTCTAGTAGCACTTCCGGCCACAGTCCCTTGGCATTTTCGAGTTTCTTTTTCATGATATTGAATATTGTTTTGTTGGAGGATTCCACCTGACCGTCGCCTGCGGGGTGATATGGCGTGGAGAGTATTCTTTTGATGTGGCATTTTTTGAAGAACTGGGCGGTCTTTTTTCCAGTGAACTGGGGACCGTTGTCGCAGCTGATTTCTTTGGGGATGCCGAAGCGGCATATGATGTTTCTCCATATGAACGTGATTACTTCTTTTTCGCGTATTTGGGCGAATGCACCTGCTTCTACCCATTTGGAGAAATAGTCAGTTAGAACTAAAAGAAATCGTACATTACCTCGTCCCATCGGGAGGGGTCCGACGATGTCCATTCCCCACTTGATGAAAGGCCATGGCGATGTGACTGAATGAAGGTGTTCTCCTGCTTGGTGAATCATGGGGACGTATCTTTGGCATTGCTCGCACCTTTTGACGAAGTCGCCAACTTCCTTCTTCATCGTGGGCCAATAGTAGCCTGTCCGTATGAGGCATCTAACGAGAGCTCGGTTGCTAGTGTGGGCTCTGCAGTGGCCCTCGTGTACTTCTTCGAGGACATGTTGTGTTTGATTTGGCCCTAAGAACTTTTCTAGGGGGGCCACCAAATGTTCTTTGTATAAGTCGTTATTGACGACGATGTACCTGGCCGCCTGCATTCGAAGCTTCTTGGCTTCTTTTTTTCCGGATGGGAGCACTCGGTCCTGCAAGTGTGAGATAATGCAATTGCGCCAGTTCCAATTTAGGTTTATAAACCGAACCTTAATTTGGTCTAGCAATGAGTGGAGGAGAGTGACCACGTCCCCCTCTCCGGTTATGCTTTTGGTAGGCGCTGCTAATTTGGCGAGGCTTTCCACTTCGATGCTCTGCGCTCGAGGTATTTGGTGGAGCCGGCATTCGTCGAACTCGGGTAATAGCTTGCAAATCTCGGCCTGATATTTCTGTAACCACTGCTCCTTAATATGGATGATACTTGTTCTTTTGCAAGGTCGTTGCCTTTCACTGCAGTGACATAGTGGGTCACATGATCCTCCGGGTCCATCGTGCCGTCATATATTTTCAAATATGGCGGCATTTTGAAATTTTTTGGTATAGCATTTGGCTCGGCCTCGTCGCTATATGGTTGTTCCACAAACCGGCCGCCGTCCCGTTTTTGTAAGAGTCTTAGGGAGCCCAGTATCTTATCTACCCTTTCTTGATGCTCCCGCATTTGGTCGCGGAGTGTTTTGTTCTCGTTCTCCATCTCTTCCATTTTTCTAAAAATGGCAGTGAGGTCGTCGCTACCTGTATCATTAACAGGGTGAGTGATAACTGTCGAGGGAGGTTGGGTGTGTTGCTCATTGGTTGTTGTGGCGATGTTGACTCGCACACTCTCTCTGCTCACCCTCTGAGCGGGTTTGTCTAGTATGTTGTTCAGTGTATTCGTTAACCATGCTTCTAGTAGCTTTTTTGGCACTGGTGGTGCTTCTTCCGTGGTGGACGTAGAGGCTCCCTTTCCATGAGAAGCGGTAACGCTGCCATGAGGAGGGGGTGAATCACTTCGCCTGGTGAGGCGCTTGGTGTCACATTTTCCTCATCCTCTCCGTGAGCTTCGTCGATAGTGTTTAGGAGATTGGCAGTGAGATCGGCTATCGCCTTTCTCTTTTCTTCTCCATTGCCTGTCATGTCAGATCTGTCAAAACAAAGAGATACGAGATTGTGCAGAGTTTTGTGTGTTTTTTTTAGATCTAGAAAAAACTAAAATTTTTAACTAGAAAATTCCCACAAACGACGCCAAAATTTTTCGACCAAAAAGTGTTAAACCTTTTTGTTAAACTAATTAAGTAAATGATAATAGGTAAATTCTAGTTAGACATAATAAGTCCTAGATCCAAGATTGATGGGTAATTATAACTTAGAAACCGCATTCAAAGCTATTAAAAGCCAAAAGGAGATTTAATGATGTTCTTGTGAATAAATGGGAGAATGGGGGCAAGCAATAGCTGTAAATAAAGAGAATAATTCACTCAAATGTGTAACGAGGTGGATGACTCTCCCTCTGACAATGATGTAATAGAACCAAACGTGGGAATATCAAATACTTTATCGGATCTGACGTGGGAAAGCTTGGAAGAACATAGCAAATCCAATCTTGTATAAAGATAAAGTTTGTTGTTATCTGGGAGTCAATTTTTCTAGAGAGAGCTTATCAAGATCGAAAATTCGGTCCCCTTTCTCTCTCTATTCCTACTTATATGGATATTCCCCTTACCTACTGAAAGTACAAATACAGAGAATATTCCCGTGAATATTCTTTAGAAATATGTTATTTCTAAACTAGCCGTTTTGGCCGATTTGAGTGCTCGACCTCGACATTCGCTCGGCTCGCCAGTGTTGTTTTTTAAGCATGGCCTCGGCCAAATTGATTCTTGATTTCCCTATTTTAGGCGAGGTCCCTTTGACTAGATTTTGACGCATACACACACACACACACACACACACACACATATATATATATATATATTTCGAGTCTTTTTATATGCTTTCGAGGAGTCTTTTGATTGGTAGAAATTAAGCCATTAAAAAATATATAGAGAGAGAGATATACTTTTCATTTTATTGGTATAATATTGGTATGAAATTATTTAAATGACGGTAGAAATTCATATAACCGGTGTCATAGTTGTTGTTGTGATATTTTTTTTTTGTTTAAATTACTTCAATATCTTTTGTATTTTTATACGTCGAGAATATGCCTAGTGTATTAGTCTTTACATCAGCCTTGTTTTGTTAGGAATTCTATCTTTTTTTTACTACAAAGAAGAGTCTAGGCATTCTTTAAATATTTAAATCCGATGAATATAGTTATATTATTACAAAATAATGACTATAAAGTAAATAAGCTAAAGACAAGTATAGAGAGAAACTGATATATTATTCAACTTTCAAACTCATGTACATAATGAACTGAAATCTTCTCTATTTATAGAAGAAAGAAAGCTGTTGTATAAGCTGCTACTGCAAGCTGCTTGTAAATTGCTTGTAAGCTGCTACTGCAAGCTGCTGTGTAAGCTGCTACTGCAAGCTGCTGTGTAAGCTGCTTGTAAGTTGCTTGTAAGCTGCTACTGTACCAGATATAGATAATTTTCTACCAGGGATAATATTTGTCCATAATGGAGTACCAAAATGATAAGCTTCTCCAGGAGGCTTATTTCCAATAGAGTACAAAATAGATAAATATATTTACGGTAGAGTCTCATATGAATAAGTTTCTTTAGAAAACTTATTTACAACGGAGTACTAAATGAACATCCATAGTATAATATATATTTATAACATATATAACTATAATTTCATTATTTCACTAGCGTTAAATCTTTTGAGGAGCTTGTATATTTTGTTTTTACCCTTGCAAGAGTCAAAGTCTCGTCCCAGTTTGAAAGCACTTTCAGAGCTTTTTTATCTTGTATTGCAGTGAAGCATCACTACTCCATAATGGACAAGATAGATAGTTGCCTTCAATAGGAGTTAATTTTATCGATGGACATTGAATTATGTTTGTTACCCAAAAGATACTTTTTTTTGTTACGTAAAAATCATTTATCTTTGTGTTCATTACTTAAAAGTCAGTATTCTTTTTTTTGTTACACAAAAATCATTCTACTTTGCTCTGATTATCACAAAAGCCACATTTTCCAGATTTTATAATATTTTTACTTGAAAAGTCTATTATGACATTGATATTATATAAATCTTCATATTTATATAATATACTTCATATATGATACTTGTTCTTTTGCAAGGTCGTTGCCTTTCACTGCAGTGACATAGTGGGTCACATGATCCTCCGAGTCCATCGTGCCGTCATATATTTTCAAATATGGCGGCATTTTGAAATTTTTTTGTATAGCATCTGGCTCGGCCTCGTCGCTATATGGTTGTTCCACAAACCGGCCGCCGTCCCGTTTTTGTAGGAGTCTTGGGGAGCCCAGTATCTTATCTACCCTTTCTTGATGCTCCCTCATTTGGTCGCGGAGTGCTTTGTTCTCGTTCTCTATCTCTTCCATTTTTCTAAAAATGGCAGTGAGGTCGTCGCTACCTGTATCATTAACAGGGTGAGTGATAACTGTCGAGGGAGGTTGGGTGTGTTGCTCATTGGTTGTTGTGGCGATGTTGACTCGCACACTCTCTCTGCTCACCCTCTGAGCGGGTTTGTCTAGTATGTTGTTCAGTGTATTCGTTAACCATGCTTCTAGTAGCTTTTTTAGCNATATATATATATATATATATATATATATATATATATATATATATATATATATATATATAATGTTAACACGTTTATTTCAGGTCTTTTTATATGCTTTCGAGGAGTCTTTTGATTGGTAAAAATTAAGCCATTAAAAAATATATAGAGAGAGAGATATACTTTTCATTTTATTGGTATAATATTGGTATGAAATTATTTAAATGACGGTAGAAATTCATATAACCGGTGTCATAGTTGTTGTTGTGATATTTTTTTTTTGTTTAAATTACTTCAATATCTTTTGTATTTTTATACGTCGAGAATATGCCTAGTGTATTAGTCTTTACATCAGCCTTGTTTTGTTAGGAATTCTTTCTTTTTTTTACTACAAAGAAGAGTCTAGGCATTCTTTAAATATTTAAATCCGATGAATATAGTTATATTATTACAAAATAATGACTATAAAGTAATAAGCTAAAGACAAGTATAGAGAGAAACTGATATATTATTCAACTTTTAAACTCATGTACATAATGAACTGAAATCTTCTTTATTTATAGAAGAAAGAAAGCTGTTGTATAAGCTGCTACTGCAAGCTGCTTGTAAATTGCTTGTAAGCTGCTACTGCAAGCTGCTGTGTAAGCTGCTACTGCAAGCTGCTGTGTAAGCTGCTTGTAAGTTGCTTGTAAGCTGCTACTGTACCAGATATAGATAATTTCTACCGAGGGTATAATATNAGACTATCCCAAAGAATGACATTCTTTAAACCAGGCATGTCAAGGTTGTGAAACTCCCTCAGTTTAGCAGCTATTGAAGCAGAGATCTCCGGATCACGAAGATCCTCAGCAGATAATGTCTGAAAATGCAAAGAAAGACAGACATACAGACAAGGTCAACAATCAATCAATAAATACCAAAATATATCTTAGCCTTGTAATAATATTATATGCATCTGATATTTGTATCCAGTTTTAAAGGAGGTTTATCAATCAAATTATATCAAGCCCCCAAGAGAGAAGGCCATCTTTCCCTATTCTCGCAACTGTATGCTGGTGTTTTACAGATAAAATACTGACTCCACTAAACTGGACATGGTCAAAGACTCAACAACACGGCGCTATTCTACTGAATAGTGAAGGTGATTAAAAGGCAAGGAGCACCACCTGCTGCTCAATCATTCAATAGGAGTGCATCAAATTGATAAAATCCTATTTCAAAGATCCGGCGCCTGCTCCCAAGATTAGAAGCCATTCATTGTACAAAATCTGCATGTAATAGTTTTCACTTAAGACAGTTCATTATGTTACCTAGGCTTAGGACTTAGGAGGGAAAACCAGACTGACGGTGATCTCGTCTAAAAGTCAATAATACATTATAATCAGAGCACTACCACTGACCCCCTCTACATATGCTGATCTCTTATCTATTTCCCCAGCAAACAAAAACTGTAAAAGTATGATCATTTCATTACATACATGGCAAAACCTCCTAGAAATCATTAATGTTAACACCTATACTTTCAACTTTATAGTAACATACACTTAGAAAGCAACATATGTCCAATAGATAAAAGCTTCATATATAACACTAATGCTAACTTTATGAACAAAGTAAATTTATTCAGAAATTTCACATACCCTTGAATGAATGAACTCCTCAACTCTACCATTTGGAAACTGACCAAGAAGTTTAGGTCCTTGACCTTTCTTTGACAAGCACTCAAAAGTTCTAATCTCCTCATCCCTATTGAAGAAACGCTCTACTCCTTCACCATACATGCGAACCAAGACTGTGCTCGACGCATTTTCGTTGTTCTTGGTAGGCCAACTTATCCGATAAACCTCATTAGTCAGGGAACCACTCAAACGGTGAACTTTCAATGTCTTTAGATCCAATACATCCCCCCATTTTGTAGCTAAATTTAGAAGCAATTTCATCAATTCCTCTGGCACAATACTTTCATTAGTCATCACCACCATCAGAAAAAACAAAAGAAGGCTTCACCTGTATTTACCAAAATCAAGAAGTCTTATCACCAAGTATCAAAATTCTTAACACAAATTCAAGAAAGTCAAACAAATGATATCTCTTCAAGAAAATAAGGAGATAATTTTATCCATGATTATTGAACTTTTGTGTTTGTTACCCAAAAGTTACTTTTTTTTTTTGTTACGTAAAAATCAACTTTGTGTTCATTGCACAAAAGTCAATTTTCTTTCTTTTGTTACACAAAAATCGTTTTACTTTGCTCTAATATCACAAAAGTCACATTTTTACTTGAAAAGTCTATTATGCCCTTGATATTATATAAACCTTCATATTATGTAATGCTTTCTATATTATATACTATATAATATATTTTTAACTATGTATTTTATTTATAAATATGTTTTGAAAATTAAAGTTAAGAAAAAATTAAGTATACGAATATATTATAAAAACAATAAATAAAATAATATTAAGTTATTTTATTTATAAATAAAATACCTAGGTAAAAGTATATTATATAGTATATAATTTAGAAGGTATTAAATAAATATGAAAATTTATATAATATCAAGGGCATAATAGACTTTTCCAGTAAAAATATTATAAAATTTGGCAAATGTGACTTTTGTGATGACTAGAGAAAAGTAAAATAATTTTCGTGTAACAAAAGAAAGAAAAGTGACTTTTGAGTAATGACCACAAAGTTAATGATTTTTACGTAACAAAAAAAAGTAACTTTTGGGTAACAAACACAAAAGTTCAATGACCATCGATTAAATTAACTCCCTTCAATAGAAATATATGAGATTTTTTGGAAGTCCCACATACTGTATTTTGACTCTTTATATAATGTTGGATGAGATAATGTTGGACAGTTCTCATCCATGAGCTAGCTTTTAAGTTAAGTTGAATTTAACATTATTTTTTTTATTAGGGTGGAGCATCCATTAAGTTAGATTCAAGATCATTATTTTTATTATGATAGAGCCTCCAATCGTGATATGATGATTAAGTCTGATATTGGGCTGAACAGGAAAATTCGTCCTCGGTCGCGAGTAAAGAAGAGGACAAAATAAAGAACACTTTGAACAATGACTATAAGACAAAAATAAACTTTTATTGCTTTTGATTTGAGTGTCACACCGTGTCTAAATAAAAGAAACCTTCCCCTTTATAAAGTAGTGAAATTTTCTAGTACTAGTCTAAATAAGGTAAAAATCTTCTTTTTCCGGTAAATATCGATCTGCAGTTGATACTTTCGCGTCGTGTATAACCGTTCTCCGCATTTTCCGAGGTCCAGAAGCTATACTCGATCTGGGTCCATCACTTCACCATGCCCGATCTCGGTACATTGTTCATTTCTCCCGGATTTCGATACGAGGGGTTCTTGGGCCTTAACTATAATCATGTCGAGCCGTGCTTTTCCGTTGTTTCTTCGTTGGAGAATTGGGGAAAACTCTTGTTTAATCTTAAAATTGGATAACAATTAAACTTATAAGTGCTTTTAAAGATATGTGATTTTACTTGGCTTAAACTGATAAATATGAGAATTAATGCTAGAAATTAACAGTAAAATAAAGCAAACCAATGTGATGAACAACTGTGACCCTCGAGCTAAATCGCCCTCGAACCAACTGAATATGCTATTGAAAAATTATGAGCTAAACAGTAGAGTGTATGAGAGCTTAAGAGAGAAAAATGTAGTATATTGCTTGAGTATGCGTGAATGTATGATGCTTACAAAATGATTAGAAACCCCTTTATATAGTAGAGGAATTCTTCTTTTGGTACAATTCTAAATGCAGAAAGAAATCCCATGATTGACTAAATAACCGGTCTCGACTTGATGCGTGTCGGGATTTTTGCCACGATTCATGCCCGGTCACGGATATCTCAGCTTTTGTTATGCGACTTAGCAGGCTTCCTTCCATCTTGCTCGATATCCATCCTGCTTCGGTCTCGATCATGGATGGTCTCGATCTTGATCGGTCATTGATTCATGAGCTTAGCAGTCCATCTCTGCCCATGGTTCGATACAACGCGGAGTCGAGCCTTGGTCTGCCACCCCGGTTTCGATTAGCCATACAAAATTAGGCAAGTCCGATTTTGACCGTATACAGATAGTCCCCTCGTTTTTTGGAGTATAATGACAAGAAACGAATTGAGTCTTCGAGCTTCCCCTCGGTTCACCATGACGTAAGCGACGAGCCCGATCATGACGTCAGCGACAAGTGGGTACTGAAACGTCCCATCTGTTCGGATGTCAAGGCATTAAATGCCTGTCAGTTGTTGTCGGCCACTACCGGTTCTGAACTGTCGTCTTCAACCTATAAATATATCTTCCTCCTTTTGCCCAAACTTTACTTTCAATCACTTTCATTCTAATCTTCAAGTTCCTTGCATTCTTCAGAGCTTCCTGTCTTCAGATCTTCGGATTTCTTTGCTTGTTCTTCCCAAAACACAGAAAGCTCCAATCTCCATTCTTTCTCGCTTATAATGGCCAAAAATCTAAAACCGTTCCGAGAAAGGAGATTGCTTCATCGTCACGGTCGGCCGGCGAGGAACCGGCGGCGGAGCCACACCCTGGAGAGTTTTTTCCGGGAGGGTGTGTTCTCGACTCTGATTTTAAGGTTGAAAAGACTTTCTCAGTGTTGGTCCGATGCGAGCCGGTATCGAGATATATATGCTCGATCACTGAAAAACTTCTTTCCCAAGTTAAAAAAGATTGCAACTGGGTAACAAACACGTAGTGGTGCCTGCTCCAGAAAAGGCAATAACCACTCATGTGGAAGTGCTCTTAAGTGTTTAGACTTACCCTTTCACGTTGGGTCCCTTGGATCCGATCATCATAGACTTCTGCAAGAAGTACGAGGTGGCCCTTGGTCAGATTCATCCCTCCTTTTGGAGGATAGTGATATTACTTCGTTTCTTCTCAAGCAAAGTTGATGGGCTTCCCTTCACCCTCGACCACCTCATACGCCTATATAGTCCCCGACTCTATCGATGGGGACTAATAAAGCTTCAACGTAAAGCTACTAGGGCACCTTTTCTTATCATAGATGAGGACAAAGACCGGGGATGGATGGGCCGATTCGTTCGAGTAAAGACCTCGGACTTGATCCCGACTGAAAGCTTTCCATTTCCTGAGAAATGGAATATGAAACGTAAGTATGACTCCGCTCCTAATTCCTGTTTATGGTCCTCGTTCTTTCAACCTTTCTTATCAATGTTTTACTGGATGCAGTTGTTGCCTGGATGCCGGGTACGGTCCCCCAACTCGAGGACCGGGTCAGGAGCCTGATATCGCAATTGACCACTGTTAGAGCATTTTTCCGAACTTATTTATTTCTCTTCTTTTGTAGGTCTTGGGAAGAAGGTGATGATGAGGCCTCCATCTGGTGATGAAATTCCTCCCCCATCATCTGTTTCGAAGTCGGTAGGGGAGAAGAAGAGGAAGCAGGCCTCGACTTCTGTGAACTCTGAGGGGCAGAAGCCCAAAAAGAAAACAACTCGAAAGCCCAAGAGAGCGTCATCCCTTTAACAATGGACTCAGTCTGTCGGCTACTGGAGGAGCCTGAAGAGGACGAAGAAGAAGAGAATGAAGATGATTCCGGGCCGGTGGCCTGTGCTCGAGCTAGCACCGAGGTTCGGGGAACCTCGGACCCGGTGGGAGTCGATACTGCTCCGCCTAGGCGTAATGAGGTCGAGGAGGAGACTTCGGCCCAAGACCCTGAGCCGAGAGGGAACGAAGATGCTTTACCTTGTGTCACGCCCCAAAATCGAGGGACATGACCGGCGCTCGACCGGGTAGCCCCAGTCAAGCGGACCTGGGTGCCTTTCCTATCCCACGTGTTACCCCGTGTTTTCATTACTCATTAATCAAAGGAAATAGCCATTTATGATTTAAACACCTTTTTACGAAATATACATAACATACATGGTTACTTAGCGTGGTTTACAAGTTACACTGCCCAAAAACAAGATACATAAGTACATAACCCACACTCCCTGTCTACGGAGCCTCTGAGGATACAAAAGAGTTTTACAATACTTGCCGGTAACAAGGCTTCGGCTATACCTTACACAAATACCAAAAATAAAACTTCGGAAAGAAAAGCGGCATGAGCCACGCAGGGCCCCGAGAGGAAAGGGGCTCACCAATTCAGCTGACGGGAAGTGAAGGAGTGCTACTGTCGGTGGACTGGAGTACCTGCTATAGATCCACCTACAATCATAACACGAATGTAGCGCCCCCCGCAAAAGGGACGTCAGTACATTTGAATTGTACTGGTATGTATGAACAAACTTTACCTCAAGTAAAATCAAACAATACATAAGTAACAAACAGTAATAGAATCAACGATCAAATGCACATGAAAGGAACAACCAAAGCCAAACAAGTTTCACAATCTCTCCTTTTCCCCTTTCAACATTATTTCATCACATCAATGATTTCACAACTTTCACATATGTTCATTTCAATAGTGATTTCGATCACTTTTCCACCCTTATTACCTCGGCCACCCTTATCACCACAACCCACACCTTATTACTTCGTGTTGCAGCGCGCAACCCGATCCCACCGAACAATCACATTTCACACAACAACAACAACAAATCACATTTCACACGACAACAACAACAAATCACATAGAATTTTCATAACCATCAATACCATTTCCATCACATACAACAACCCGTATACAATTTAAGTCACAACGATAATTGCCCACGACAAGTCACATATGATATTACCATAGTTGTTTCAATTGCATCAATTACGATTTCTTTCCATCATTTGTTACACAGCTCTTACCACATAAATACATTCAGACACACACACTTGGTTTGTTGCCATTTACTTACACCATTATATCGGGAGACTTAACCAACAACGTTCAAGGCATATTAATCACAAGAATTCACAAATAGTCCACATAGGTAACACATACCAAATACTCGTACACCAAACAAGGTGACTTTACAAAGGTTAAAGTTAGCCATACATACCTGGAATCGAATTTCCCTTTTTACTTCTACTTCGACTCACC